TTGAGACAGAGTCTTGCTCTGTTGCCCAGGCTGGAGTGCAGTGGTGCGATCTCGGCTCACGGCAACCTCTACTTCCCAGGTTCAAGTGATTGTCCTGTCTCAGCCTCCCTAGTAGCTGGAATTACAGGCATGTGCCACCGTGCCCAGATGATTTGTGTATTTTTAGTAGAAACGGGGTTTCACCATGTTGACTAGGCTGGTCTCAAGCCCCTGACCTCCCAAGTGCTGGGATTACAGACATGAGCCACCACGCCTGGCAAGGTTGTGTCTATAACTATACTGGAGGCATCACAGCAAAGAATGGGGGTTATTCCATATTTTGAAATTCCAGGGTTAGGGTCTCAGGTCTTGTCTGCTCCTTTTCCACAACTCCTCCTCAGCCCTCTACTTTGACTCTGCCTGGGACTAGGAACAGAAGCAACCCACTTGGGAGATGAAGATTGACACCTCAGAAGCCAGGGATGGTGGGAAGGTGGCAAGAGGCCAGTCCAGGGCTCAGGATTGCTTTGAGCTGCTCTTGTGTTAGGGGCAGCCAAGGGGCAAGACGTTTGAGTGTGAGATGTACCCAGTATAAATAGTTCCATACGTGTCTGCTGTGTCTTCCCCTGGAGGCCAGTCAGGGCCCAGAAGCTACCTATGGCCCCTCGGTACAACCAAACATGCATATGAGTCAATTTCTTACCTGCTCCCCCCACACACACACCCCACACCACACACACACACACAAATACACGCAGAACCATTTCTTTGATGTGTCCTTTTGCTCCCTTCCAGCACTTAGCATGGTGTTATGCACATAAGGGGTGACCAGAACATAAATCTTATCTCATGTTACTTGGCTTCAGGTGGACATATCAGGCCCTAGAGGGCACTGGCTTGGGAGGTGGGAAATCTGCCTGGAGCACCATCTCAACCATGATCTCTGGGTGATGTGGAGAGGCTCAATTCTCTCTCCTGTCCCTTAGTTCCCCTTTCTTATAACATAGGTAGATAATCACACAAGATTGAAGATGGAAAGACCCTTGGAGGTAATCTATTCTTCCTTCTCTCTTCCTCTCTCCAAACTACCAGTGAGGAAAC